CTGAGCAGCAGGCTGCGTGGGACAACCAGGCCAGCAAGGGGGGCAGTTGGGGGCTACCAGGCCAGCAGAGGGACAGTTGGGAGCAACCAGGCTGGCAGGGGGGCAGTTGGAGGTGACCAGGCCGTGGGGGGGGAGGGGGCAGTTGGGGTGACCAGGCCAGCGGGGCAGGGGGCAGTAAGAGGCAACAAGGCCAGCAGAGGGGGGTAGTTGGGGTGACCAGGCCTGCAGGGGGTGAAGTTGGGGATGACCAGGCTGGCGGGGGGTAGCAGTAAGGAGCGACAGGCAGGCAGGGGGGGGCAATGAGTCCGGCAGGGGGGCAGTAAGGGGTGACCAGGACAGTGGGGGGGCAGTTAGGGACAATCAGGCTGGCAGGCAGAGGCGGTTAGGGGTGATGAGGTTGGCAGTGGGGACAGTTAGGGGCGATCAGGCAGGCAAGCAGGTGAGCAGTTAGGAGCCAGTGGTCCCGGATTGTGAGAGGTTGCAGACTGGGCTGAGGGGGCCCCCCTTCCCCTGTTCACGAATTTTTGCACCAGGCTTCTATAAGAAAAGGCTAATATGCAAATAGACCAAATGGTAGAAAGACTGGTCGCTATGACGTGCACTGACCACCAGGGGGGCAGACACTCAACGCAGGAGCAGCCCCCTGGTGGTCAGTGTGCTCCCACAGGGAGAGCCTTGCTCAGCCAGAAGCCGAGTGCAGTGGCGGTGGCAGGAGCCTCTCCTGCCTCCATGGCAGTGCTAAGGATGTCTCACTCATGGCTTACACCTACTCCCAGACTGCAAGAGGGCATAGGCCAAACTGAGGTAACTATCCCCCAGTGCATGAATTTTTTGCACCAGGCCTCTAGTGGTTATATAAGACCCAATTATCTAAGTGAGAATCCCCTAAGTGAGAATTCTTTAGTCTTCTATGTAGTAGTTGCAATTATATTATTATTTGTTTTTTTCCAATATAACTGAGGAAGGAAAGGATTCACAGATTACTTAAACAATTTAAATTGAATTTATATATGTATAGCCACTCTTACATATTTGGTCGAATAAGAAGTAAACACTAAATGTTTGAAAAGCTCTTACAAATTTAAATTATTATTGCATCTTACCCTAATCCTTCCTACACTTTTCTTTTAGTAAATATTATGCTCACAGGTTGGCACATAGTCCAAATTAGGCCAGCCTTTCTTTGTACAGGCCCAGGAGCTAAACAGGGCTATGTTTTTCAAGGGTTGTTTTTTTAAAAAAGAAAAAGATGGGAGGAGAATAATATTTTATAGAGGCCCATTGTGGCCCACAGAGACTAAAATATTTACTCTCTGGTTCTTTGTAGCAATAGTTTGTCAATCTCGAACCTAGTTTTAATATTTTCATGTCACACAGGCTAGTGGTAACATAGTAGTTAGATTATATACGCCACAGTGTACCTCACACTGAACCCTTAGAGACGTTGCCATACATACATGCCATTTCTTAGTGTCTCATTTAATATCTAGTGGCCCAGTGCATGAAATTCATGCACATTAAAAGGGAATTAATTAGAGGAAGTTTTTTATTATTGCTATTTTCCCTTTCTCTATAATAGAAGTGTCAGAGATGAAAGAAAATTAGCAAAATGTATATAAAAATAATATATAAATCCTATATAATAAAAGAAAAACATGCAAATTAACCATCCTTCTGCTACGCTCAAGCCATGCCCACCAGCCAATCAGGAGTGAATATGCAGAGTAGCCCAACTAAGATGGTGGTGGCCATGGAGCTGGAGCAACCTGACGGCTTGGGTTGCCCCCGGAAACAGAGGAAGCCAAGCTTCCTGCCTGCCCTGTCCAACCCTCGGCTCCGCTCAAGGCTACAAAGTTTCAACTATAGAAGATAAGTAAATCCCAGATACCTGCTTCCAGTGGCGCTGAAAAAAAAAAAAAAGAAAAAAAGGAGAGGCTGGGAGCTTGGGTCACTGGGGGGCATGGCCAGCCTGAAAATGGCTCTCAGCCCCTCACCCAGGCTGGCCAGGCATCCCAGTGGGACCCTCACCCTGATCCGAGACACCCTTCAGGGCAAACCAGCCAGCCCCCACCCATGAACAGGCCTCTATCCTATATAATAAAATGGTAATATGCAAATTAACCCTAACAGCAGAACGACTGGGAATGACTGGTCACTATGAAACACACTGACCACCAGGGGGCAGACACTCAATTCAGGAACTGCCCCCTGGTGGTCAGTGCACTCCCACAGAGGTAGCTCTGCTTAGCCAGAAGCCAGGCTGACGGCTGTCAGCACAGCGGTGGTGGCAGGAGCCTCTCCCGCCTCCTCAGCAGTGCTAAGGATGTCCGCTAAGGATGCAGCTTAGGTCTGCTCCCCGCTGGCAAGTGGACATCCCCCGAGGGCTCCCGGGCTGCCAGAGGGATGTCTAACTGCCACCTTAGGCCCGATGCCCTGTGGAGTGGCCCTAAGCCAGCAGGTGGACATCCCCCAAAGGGTCCCAGACTGCGAGAGGGCACAGGCCGGGCTGAGAGACCCCCCCGAGTGCACTAATTTTTGTGCCCCAGGCCTCTAGTTTATTAATAAATAAACAATAACATCATCACGTCCTTGGCTGGCACTGGGCAGGGGACGTAGCCTCACGTCCCCTGGCCTCGCCGCACACACAACCCCACCCAGCTGTGCCTGCCACGCACGCAGATTCCTGCTGATCGGTTGTTACGGCGTGAAGGTGTCACAACCATTTGCATATTATCCTTTTATTAGTGTAGATGGCATTATATAAATACATGGACAAATATGATAACTTTGATTGAATTTTGCCTATCTGATGTCTACAATTTACTAGAAAGTTAAAATAATTTTAGTGAATCAATTGGCAGTCTTTCTATAACTCTGATTTTTCTTTGAATAGAACTTTTACATACATACTTTTTTGTTTCTCAAATATAAATTTATGGCATTCAGTTGCTCAAGTTTCAATAGATTAGAAACAAAACAAACCTCTGATCATTTAGCAAGTTGCTTATTGAGTTATACTATTTAAAAATATTTTTAGAGAAAATTAAAGGTCAAATGAACCAAACATTGGGGTATTTAGTTTAATTTTCTGGAAAATAGAATAGCCTTTATCAGGTCCCTGTGTCTTTCCGTCCTCATGCTTGGCTGACAGCTTGACAGTGGCTCTGCAGTGGTGGACTTGGTTGTCAGGAAGCTGCTTTGTCAGCAGAGAGGGCCTATATGCTGAGCTGGTAGGTGGGGGGAAGCCAGGCTCACCTTGTCCTGACCTGCTGATCAGTGATGAGTTTTGTTAGCAACAGAAAATGTGGCTGAATGATTTTCTTTAATGCTAATTTTGATGTAGAAAGTAGCATTTGAAGCAGGGCTACTATAAGGTGTCGTGTCTCATTGCTGTGGACAAACCCCATGCAGTGCCTACTGAGTGAAATGCAAGAAGTGCCAACTGGATGGTCAGAAAATTACAGCAACATTTAAATAAACAGTGTGAGCAGATTTGCTTGTATTGAACATGGAAGTATTTCTAGTTTAACTCTATAATATTTGGACATTTTTATCTCCTTAAGTGTTTAAAAGAAATACACTTTTTTTTTTCCTTAGACAGACTTTTTCTTCCCAGAAATCTGCCACCCATGACTGGCAGGGTTGAAGCAGAACCAGTAAGTTCCTTTAGGAAAGAGTTGGAGAATAGCTGGCATAAGAGTGATGTTAAGTTCAGTGTATTTATTGGCTGTGAAGTCTGTGGAGTTATACATCTTGCATTTGAGTTTTTGCTAGAGTAAATTATGCAAAAGAATAAAATTTTAGGTGTTTTAGCAGCTAAAACACCTAAAGAGAAGTCATTTTAGTTGCAATTGAATTCAATTCACAACTGACATAATAAATATTATTTTCATTTTAAAGATGTGAAAATAGAGACTTAGATAGTTGATGCTGTTTAGATAGGTTAATTTTTTTTGTTCTGGGATCAGACTTCTTAAGTTCAAATTTTGGGATTGGCTTTGAGACTTTGGCCAAGTTATTTATTTTCACTGAGCCATCTGTGAAATAGAAGTAATAGTACAACATGCATCATTGGCCTCTTACGAGAGCAGTATGCATTAGAAATATCATAGGGTTTAACTTATGGTCATGGTTCAATTAAAGTTTATTATTTTTATTATGTCACAATTTTGAATTTGAGATTGTATTTGGTCATTTTGTTTTGAAAATTTCCTAAGTGCTTCACCTAAGCTTGATTTGCTCTGTTTGAAACCTCCCCTTTTCAATAGGCTAAACAGTTTTAAAATATAAGTGATTTCCTGATAATCTTTATAAGAATTATGTATACATATATGAGTATTGGCAAAAAACTCCAGTGTAATTTCTACATCCACAAATTGATGTTTTGATAGATGTCACTAGATATTTCTTTGGAACTTCCAGTGAAATAATTATAGTATGAATAGTACATAAATAATATGTATTTTACCATGTTATGTCCCAAGACTGAAATTAAATATTTTTAGCTTGATATAATTCAAATAGTAATATTTCTAATAGCAGGGGTTTTTTGCATTTTATTTATGAGAAATCATAATTTGAAAGCAAGCCAGTATACTTCTAAGTACATAAAATTTGCCATAAAAGAGATCACTATAAAAATAGCAAGCCGATGATGAACCAAGAAATACGTATAACTTTCCTATCACCAAACATCAAAGATATTATTTACTTAAGTCTTACTTTTCTTTTGTAATTAAACTGTTGTTACCACTCAACATTCAGGATCACATGATTTTGTGTATAATGTACTATTTTAATAGCATGAAACTATGAATAATTTAGACTGGTGTCTCTTGGTTACTCTGCTGAGTTTATGCAGCGTTTTTGCACATTTGTGCTTCTTTCCATCAGTGAAAATAGTATGACCATTTTGAAAAGCTGTTTATAAATGTCATTTCAATGTAATGTATTCCCATCCATTTAAATAGCCTAAATTTTAACTAGACATTTTGTTGTAGCCATCCATCAAAAACTAGAAGCGGATGGAACGGAAAAAGTAGAAGGATCCATGACGCAAAAACTGGAGAATGTTCTAAACAGTAAGTTTTGTTCTACTACCCAAAACAATTTATGGACTTTATAACAAGCTTTAATATAGTTCTTGAATTTGGTTTCACAGAACAAGGCAATAAGTTGCATTTTAGTACTTATTTCTAAATAATCATGATTTAATGAACATAAAGGGGAATAAAAACATTGAAAATGAATATCCTGGGTGGGTTTTTTTTTGCATTTTATTTATGAGAAATTATACTTTGAAAACAAGCCAATATATTTCTTAATAAGTAAAATTTGCCAACATAAAAGAGATGACTATAAAAATAGCATCTTGAATTAAAGACAGGAAAGCACTGACTCAATAGCCAGGATTTTTATTGATCAAAAACCTGAAAAAGCATCTTCAAGTATCTACCATTATTAATGTAAATAATATCAGCTACTAGAATAATAGATGCTATATATCATTTATTTATATCTGACCTTTTTCCACAACAAATTTAAGGCAACTGCATAATTAAGAGTGTTTCTAACTCTGAGACATTTTGTAAAATTTGTAAGCCAGGAGAAATTGACACATGCGGAATTTGGAGATTTATCCACCTCCCTTTATGTCTTTTTTCTAATATACTAGCTCCCAGGTACTTACAATACTGATTTGGAAGAAACTCATTAGATGAATCAATTTCTATTTTAATATTGGTGACTTAAAAATAAATTATACTCTTTCATGCATATGGTAAACATTTGACAAGGAGCAGTAATGTCCAAAGGAATCTCCTTGTTTGTTAAAATAAGTATAGCCTATGATTTTCCCATAATAGGGTTAAGAGTAACTAAAGAAATTAAGAACCATCTCATCAAATTTTTAGTGATTCTATGAATGCAGAACTATGATATCAAGTTAGTTTTTGCACTTCTAGTTTAATTTATTTCCATGAGCACAGTTTACTGAGATTTTTTTGTAAATATCTGTTCACAAATCTGTGGATCTCTGATAAGAAAGTATTTTCTTCCTTCTAGACATAGAAATGTGTCATTCCTAATTTGACATAGGCTTTCATTGGTAGTAGAATTTGAATACTTAGATTTCCTCCTATATTTATGAGTTTAATGGGCTTTAAATATTTTTCCCTCTGGTTGTTGCTATTATTATTTTGCCTTGAGATTTTGCCTTGTTTTTGTCTGGGAACCATGTCACCAACTTGGCTGAAATGAATATATTCTGAATTTAATCCAAATAAACATTTACTAGAGCTATTTCTATATTAGCATAGTCAGACATATTAAGGTCATGGAAGAATGTTGTTTTCACTATAGAAATTGTCAATGAACCATGGTATCTGTAAAGAAAGTGAGATTTATTTCATTAGCTTTTTGAAGGTGATTTGTAGGGACAAGCTGACATAGTAAGTATATCATTGTTATCAGTAAAAGAAAATAGACACTTAGAAGATTTTGAAAAAATTAAGATCCGTTTTAAGTGTTAGGTTTAGCATAGTGTATTAGCATATATATATATTTTTTTTTTCTTTTTTTCTTTTCTTTTAAGGAGTAGTTTAGGAAGTTCTCCCTTTGGACTTGTGTAAAATTTGTAAGGGAAATCATTTTACTTCTATTCCTTTATAACCACAAACCTTTTTTAGAAATGTATCATACTAACTTTCTACTGAAGTTCTTTTTGAATGAAGTTCTGCTTAGCATAAATGGTTACTTCTTTATGAGACTCTCTTTCAAGGCTTTCTGGTATAAATTTTTTCTTAAAGTATATTCTTTATAATAGTACCTTTTTTCCAGAATCATTTTTATCAACTTGATGTTGATGTTTACTATCTTCTGATATAGTTTTGCTAATTCAATTTGACAAACATTTATTTAAGACTGGTTGTGTAGACATAACCCTGCTCAGTCCAGTGTGGGGTGCACAGCTGAAAGAGGCATGGCTCCAGCCTTGCAAACTTATGTTCTCCGTCTAAAGAGGTATGCCATAGTTACCCAAGACCAAAAGCTATGCAACTGGGGGATCAAAAGAACAATTATAGAACTACTACAGAAAATTTAGTTTCTTTTCTTTAGAAAGGAAGGAAGGATTGATGAGTATGACCATAGTGTAGTTTACTTAGATTATTATTAATGCTTTAATTTTGTGTATAATCATATATGAATTAATATGCATTTTTCTTGAGTTATTTTAAATAAAGGTTTTTAAAATTTGGGCAACTTTTCTCACTATAAATTAATTTTTAATGTATAATGTTAACTATAAGAAACTTAGTCCATTTTATTAAGAATTTACCAGTGCTGAAGCCTTTCATTGAAATTCTTTTATTTTCACTGACATGTGTTTCACAGATTTGCCTTTAACTTAAAAATTTTCTCTTGATTTCAAGCAAGTGATGAAGTGATGACATTATTTATATCAAATTTGCATATCCAGTTCTATTTTTTTTTTTTTAACCTATTCCAAGAGTATAGAATAGGACTGTCCTATAGAACTTCTGTAAAGATGGAAATGTAGCTGTTGAGGATTTAAAATGTAGCTAGTATTACTGAGGAGTTGAATTTTTAATTTTTAACTTTAATTAATTTAAATTTAAATAGTCCCATGTGCCTATTAGCTAGCTTATTAGACAATGGGAGTATAGACAATGTCATATAAGTATTTGTAGTAGAAGCTATGGTAGTAATAGCTAAAATATTTGCAGTGTTCGGAAACATTCTATGTATATTTAGTCCTCATAATAACTCTGAGGTTTGTACTATTATCTCCCTTTTAGTGATGAAAAAAACCCTGAAACCCAGAAAGATCAAATGAGTTACCTAATGTCATATAAGTAGTAAGTGGTAGAGATGAGATTTATGTCTAGAAATCTGGCTCCAAATTTATACTCCAAATTAAACTACTGATTGACCTTGCTGTGCATGGTTTTGATACTTATGAATTGCTTGAATTTCAGTTACCACAGTCCAATTAAAATACACCTGTTCCCCCAAAACACAGTTCAAATTTCAGTTACCACAATATATTTGCTATAATTGCATAAAGTACAAACTCAGTTGCTAGCTCTTCAAATGTGCAAATGATCAGTGACCAATTTGTCTCTTCCAAGTCCATCGGTGACTGGTCACTGTACATGTGTTGTCAGTTCACATACAGATAGCAAAGTGGGCAGTTGTGTGGCCTTCTTGTCTCCCAGAGATAAACTCACATTTTACTGAAATGGATATTAAAAGAAGGAGTTGGCTCACAAAGATGATGAAGAAGGTTCACAGGAAGCAATGCCTAAGGAACACTCAGAGATAATCTATGGCATTGAAAGTACAAAGGATAAACTTAGAAAGGACTATGACAGTTTGTTAGTGCATAGAAAAGGTGCTTGATGCATGCAAATTTTATGATAAAAAACGAGATGAGAAAGGCAGCATTCAGTTTCAGCTGCACAGTCATTTGTGCAGGACTGCATACCATACAGAGTAAGGCTTCTACTGGCCAGTACCATCTCTCTAAGTAGAAAGAGTATTGAGCACTGATTCAGAGGCAGATTTTTAGTCCTTTCTCTATAAGCATTTATAGAGCACCTATTAGTTCTATCCCAGGAATATGAAGATTAAACTTAGGCTTTACTTCTCAGACTGTATAGTCTAGTTGAAAATACAGTCAAAAATCAGGTGAATAGATTGTGGTGCGATCATCCTCTGCTGGTGGTTATCCTGGGGTACATCTGGAGTCTTCACAAGGAAGACCTAATTGAAAAGGGGAGTGGAGAGAATATCAGGGGAGGGTCACATGAGTTTTAAAAAAGGATTTGGAAGTAGGCCAGAAGAGGTTGGTGGGTGGGCAGCTAAGTGGATGCAGGTTGTCCCAGGCACAGCAAACAGTGTGACAAAGGCACCGGTTTCAAAAAGGAGATGGACTGCATTCCTAGACCCAGGATCCAGCATGGCTGGTGTGCAGAAGTGAGAGGTGAGGGTGCCAGATGGAAGAGTATCTGCTCATGAGAAGCTTTCTACTGGGTTTGGGATTTGTCTTTATCCTGAACACTGAGCGCTTAAAGGATTTTCAGTAAGGGAATGATGTTAGAACTTTTCAAAGAACATATTGCCCTTTGTATAGACAAAGGAGTAGAAGGGAGTTAGACTAAGACAGCCGTGGGCAAACTACGGCCCGCAGGCCGGATCCCGCCCGTTTGAAATGAATAAAACTATTGAAAAAAAAGACCGTACCCTTTTATGTAATGATGTTTACTTTGAATTTGTATTAGTTCACACAAACACTCCATCCATGCTTTTGTTCCGGCCCTCCGGTCCAGTTTAAGAACCCATTGTGGCCCTCGAGTCAAAAAGTTTGCCCGCCCCTGGACTAAGAGAAGCCCAGGTAGAAGGTACAGTTGTAAGAGTGAAGTGCTGAGGATTCTTAATTAAGGCAGAGGTGATGAAGGTAGAGTGAATGGCAGGTGGGAGATGTTAATGGTATGAGAAAGGCAGCATTCAGTCACTGCTTGAGGTGAAAAGAAGAAAAAGGAAGTAGTCAGTGATGACTTCCAGATATTTGGCCACAAATGGAGGAAGGAGCAGGTTTGGGGCATGAGGAGAAAAGTAGAGAGGAAAAAATTCAGTTTGATTTATAACATGTTGAGTTTGAGATTCCTGAGGGTTGTACCCAATAATATCTTTTTCTCTCTCTCAGTACTTCCTAGCTATGTCATAATGAGCAAACTGAAGAACCTCTCAGTGTTTTCAGTTGCCTGCACTATAAAATAGGGATAAATATAGTGCTTATCTTACAGGGACATGAGTAAATTTAAATGTATTGCAATTAATATATGTTTTCAGAATAAGAATTTAGAATAATTAATATAAACTTTTAAGACAAGCACCTAGCATAGAGTAAGTGCTAGATATTACATGTGTAGTATATGTTTATTCACCCACAAAGGCTTCTCCAAACTCCCTTTAGGTTATAAAGGACCTATAGATGCTAAAGTGTTTTTTTCTCCCTCCATGAGATCTTCACTTTTTTCATTCCACTTCCTTAGATCTT